GTTTGTGGTGAATAACTGTGTGGAGACCATTTCTCAGAAAAATAGAAGGATTTATATGACGAATGTCATTTCCTTTCTTAGTCTAATTCAGATAAGCAACTGATTTTTTGTTGACATTTTCTGGTATATTCTTATAACACTTTTGAAGACAATGATTTTTACTATTCTAGACTATTTTAAAACACAGATAGTGTTTTAAAAATTCAAAATACAGTACCTTTGATGACCATCACGTACATGAATATTTGCCCCGTGTGTGATTAGGAATTCTGCAATGAGGAGTTTCCTTTCTTGGAGTGCTAGCATCAGAGGGGTAAGCCCATCCTGTAATGATATCAACTCATCATTCACAATATTTCATATTCCATATCTGAACTAAAAATCATGTACATAACCCTGGGAACATAATGTTTACCACAGACTTGATAGCAATCGTCTTTTCCTCCTCAGTTTTATACACATTCTCATGTTACTCAAGATCGGAATACTCCAGCCCTGCCTACAGATGTCACATGTCCTCCAGCCCATTCCAAAGCTCATGTGAAACCCATGAAGTTTTGGTTTTTGTCATGGAATTTATCATGGTATTTTGGGGTCATATCAATGTCCCCAGAGAATTGATCTGAAGAGACCTAAACCAACACACAGTAGCAAAGATTTCAAACCTTAGTAGCATAAATGAGGAAAACATTTTTCTCTAATTCAGAAGTTCTCCTACATTTCCAGACACTTATGCGGCAGATGTACCATTTCCCAACAGAAAAATTTGATTCAGAATTATCATAAAAATGGAATTGTCCAGTATTTCAAAACTTGTTTCTGAAGGAGTTTTTGTCAAATCTTCTGTGGGGCAAAGATTAGCAATGGCAGAAGTTGTTGAAGAGACGTAAATCTCAGAGCATTGTAATGGCATGGAATTTGCTGAGGACACAGAGGAAGCTCTCTTGATTCTGCACTGAAGAAGGGACCAGAGTAACAATGTCAGCCTCTTGATCAGAACAGGTTACCAATGTAACAAACTTAAAATGGCAAGACCTCAAACAAAGTTTGACTATTTACTTGAAATGGACTCTCTCCTTTTAAGACGGTAGAAAACCGTCTTAGCATTTAGAAAATCAAATACATCATTTACTAAATATTTTTATTTAAATTATTTGTTGAATTAATTTCCTAGATAAGACATAATCTAACCCCTCACTCTTTCAACTATTCCATGTGACCCAATTCCCTCTCAAATTCAGAACATCTTCATTACTGTAACACACATACATGTCAATGAACAAATTTTTTTTGCTAATCTACCTGTATATTTCTATAAGTACCTGTTTCTCTTTGTTTCTTTGCCTCTTCCATCTGTCTCTCTCTCTGTGTGTTTTCATGTGTGTGTGTTTGAGTATGTGTGTGTGTGTGTGTGTGTATGGCTGGTCCTTATGGTTGGATAACTTACTGGGGAGTTTAGAATTTAACCCTGAAGAAAACTGACTTCTTTCATCCCTCATTGATAATAGACAAAGAATAGACTTAGAAGTAGAGTTTTGAAGTTTCCCCCATTAGTGTTTGCATGTCAACTGGTGTTTTCATTGTGCAGATCTTGTTTAAACTCGCATATTACTGAGATTTCATAGATGCAATATTTGTTTCATATCAGAAGGCACTAAATTGCAAAATCATCCTGGCCACTAGATCTGAGAGTTATGTAGAGCCTTCTTTCTTAATGGCACCTGAAACTTAACTTTGGATGTTATATTCTAGATGAACCTCTTATGGTCAGGCACCCATGGGGCTTTGCTTTCTGCTTTTTCTACAGTTGTAGATTTCTGTTATATTCTGTACTTGCCAAATTTTAATCAGCATTGCATCTAAACCCATGCTACTGACTATACTGTACTATAGCTAGTGCATAGAGATCAATGTAATTGAGGTTTTAGAAATAAGCAAGGCATTGCTTTATTCCTGATTTGTATTTTTCTTAGAAAACAACTTTAAATTAAAATGGAACAATAATGTAAAAGTATTTCAAATGTTAGATGATTCAGAATGAAGGCACAATTGCAGTTCCATTAAAAAGATGAAGGTTTTTAAAGAGACTCATGATTTCTATGTAAGTCTTGGCTATATACTGAGACCATAGCTGAAAAAATAATTTTGGTTATCTATCGTGATTTTAGGATAATCATTATCTGTGAAATTAAAACAATATTCTGTAGTTTACATGGAGTTTGACACAAGGGTTTTCAAACCGTCCACAACTCCACAATTAACAAAGTACCTAGAGCAAGAAAAGGGAAAACTTCCTTGGAATTATTGGGAGTTCCAGAGATTCCTCAAACAATATAAGGTATTAACACTGCTTTTGGTTTCTTCCAAGCACCTAAGTGTAAGATCTTGTTACTAATACAGCAAATAATTTGTAGAAAGGATTGGAAAGAATAAAACTGGAACCAAACCAAGAATTCTTACCAACGACTACCTCCCAAAGCATCGGAGGGTGTACTAAAAATTGTTAAGAGAGAAAAGGGATCTTCAAAATTCCTAAATTTCTATCAAAAGCACTAAGAAACAAGACTATTAGATGAAAAGAGCCATGGAATGCACATCACTGCAACAGATGAGTGGTTTCCTGTTGGGGAGCCACACCTGGAGAGGCCATGGGGTTACTGGCTGTCTGTAATTTCTCTCATGAGCCATTTCATTTCTTCCATAAAAGCAGTTTTGGGTATTGGCCACTGATTGTGTGTTTAACATGAAAATATTCCATCTTTTGGGCACAAATATAGCTGTGTATGGACAGCAATATGATTTCTGCCAAAGCTGTAAATTTTGATGAATAGAAATAATAATACTAGGATATTTTGCATTACTCAGACTGACATAAGATTCTCAGGCACAAAGACAGCCTTTTACGTAGACAGCTAATTTTAGCCTCTCAAACAAATTCCAAGCAGGCTGGTTGCCTGTGGAGACGAATATCTGGTTTCCCATAGAGACAAATACATGAAGTAATTTTCCCAGGTGTTGTTTGTTGCTGATTCAAGGTCAGAGTTTGAAGCAACTTTAGTCTGCATGTACTTCTTACCACTCGCAATCCAGATAACTAACTGTTATTGTTAAGTCTTGAATTCCAATGTCATTTTCTGTCTGGGAACCATTACCATTTGAGCTATGGCATGTCCAGGCATGGACATATTGACATTCCCAGCCTAAGAGAAGTTACGTGACTTATCCTGTGTTATGAGAATGGGTCAGGCCCTGAAAATGTAATTTCTATTGTCCAGAGTTTGGCTGGGAGAGGAGCAGCGTCACTGTAGAGGAGTAGTGTGTAGAGTTATGAAGAGGGTGAGTGTGGAGAGAAAGAAGTGTAAAAGAGGAGTGTGAGAGAGTGAGTGAGTGAGTGTGACACAGAGAGAGTAGTGTGAAAGACCTGTTGCTATGTGGTGGAGCTGTGTCTAGGAACTGTGTAAAGTGCTGTATGGTGAGAGAGCTATGTAAATGAGATGTATACCTATGGCTCTGGGGAGATTTGTAACTGTGTGGAAACAAGAAAAAGAAACCTATATCAAAAAGAGATGTAGAAGAGGAATGTGTGTAAAAGAAAGATGTGTCGTCATGTGAAAAAGATGTATCTGAATATAGAAATATTTAACTGTGCAGGAGATAGTGTATGCATAAAATAGAAATATGTAGCTGTATGTAAAGAGATAGAACTGTGTAGAGAGATTGTCAAGAGAGATTAAATTGAAGTAAAAGAAAAGATTGCCACCAGGAAAGTGTGTGTTTTGTTACTTTTCTCCTCAAATAGTAAAAGCCTCAAACTCAGATATATCAGAATTTTTCAAGAAACAGTTATAATGAATGTAATCTTCAGATCATGTGAGCCTGTTTTTTCCTAAAGGCCTTTTGAGGTAGGCAAGAATTTTTCTAAGCCCTTGCTACTCTGAGGTCTTCTTTTTACTACCCTCATGCAGATCTGGGGACTGGTCTCCAGGGTCTGTGTCAAGTACACTGAAACACTTGTATAGCCAAAGCAGGTGAAGTGGGAAAACACTGCTCTTGTTTGTTAGTAAACAGAAAGCACTTGGATGTTGGATCATGAAAGTGCCTCCTACAGGGAACAATTCCATCAGAGGAGCTCAATAGAGAAAGGATTTGATTACTTAGAATCAGGATGAAGCCAGGGATTTTAAATTCTCCTGGAGATTTTGTATGCACTGGATTTGTGAAAGAAACTTAGGGTATGAATGCTGCGGGAAGGTGTATAGTTAGCAACTACTTGCCTACTCCATCATCCAAAATCTCCATCATCACTTTATGTGTTGCTTTCATCGGTTGAGTAAAGAAACCTCCTTGGCCTTTTGATAGGGCAGAGCTTAGGTAGGAGGCGTAGACAGAACTGAATGCTGGAAAAAAGGGCAGACAAAGAGCCGCCATGGAGATGCCAGGTCCGACATGTTGAATCTTTCCCGGTAAGACATGGCCTCGTGGTGATATACAGATGAATATAAATGGGTTAAATTAAGATGTAAGAATTAGCCAATAAGAAACTAGAGCTAATGGATCAGGCAGTGTTTAAATGAATACAGTTTCTGTGTGATTATTTTGGGTGTAAGCTAGCCGGGCAGCCAAAACAAAGGGGCCCTCTTCCTTCAACATATGAATGGACTGTGCTTTTCCATGGGCCTTTGGTTAATTCATTAAAAGTTAGCCTTTGCTGCATGCTTCCCAAGGGACGTGTGTAAATCAAGCGCTGGTAGGGGAATCTTCCATGCTTTAGTTGCACAAATTCAGCCCATGATAGCAGTCATGATAGCACTTTGAAGGTGAAATATCACCCACAGTCTCAAGCCATTTATATCCTCGAACAACTAGTAACAGTTTTTGATAGTTATTCAACCTGTGAATATAGATACTTGCTGGGTGAAATATTGGTGTGTAGGCAGTTTTGGGGTGCACCTGTTTTGAGTTTCTCAAAAGGCTACTGATTCTCATTCTATGAAGAGATAAAGAGGAAGGGTTACAAGTTCTTGATATCATGGGTAAAGCTATATCCAGCTGCTGTGTTTCACAGCCAAGAAAAGACTCTATGCTCTGAACCAGAGCAAATCCTTTCTGACTTATGCTACTTCTACATTCCTTTTTGAAAATTAATGAAAAAAGTGACTACCATAATTTCCCAACTGTAATAAAACTACCATGGTGATTATTTTTAATGGCCAGAGACAGCAACCAGTGTGACCTAGAAAGAGATTTTCTTTTGAAGAAGTGTCTACCTCTGTTTAATCCATGGAAATGCCTGTGGGAAGTTACCTTGATGGCTAAGTGATGAACAGAGCCCAGGACCTGGTGGGTGGTACCATAGCCTGGTTTGGGAAGATGACTGTAAGGTTTTAGGAAGATGGTTGAGTACTTAGAAAACTAGCAGCCTAGGCTCATACGTTTTTCCCTCTCTTGAGGATAGACAATGGTGAATAGCTCTCTCAAGATCCTGCATCTGTGCTTTTCCCAGCAATATAAAGTAACCTGGAATTGTAAGTCAAATAAAACTTTCAGTCCCTTAGATATTTTTACAAATATTTGTCATGGCTTTATACAAGAAAGCTAATTTCTCTAATACTTCTTTCAATAAATCAACATTTAATTCTCCTGCCATGTGAAACCATTTTTGAGAGCTCCATTTAGTATTATTGGAACATGTTTGCCCATTTCCCTCAACTACTTTTCAAATGTACTCCACTTCTGTACCCACACATCTTCCTTCCTTGTTTCTATAACCCTCCTCTCAGGTCTCTGGGGTCACTCTGGAAGATCAGGGTAAAGTCTGTAAGCGTCAGGAAAACTGCATGACAAAGAAGAAACAGTGTTTCCTGGGTACAAGATAGTAGACATTCATATGACGTCATAGTCACTGTGAAAGTATTCACAAGACCTATGGAAGCTCAAGTGATACAAGATTTTATTATGCAAACAGGAATTTATCATGAAGTTCCTCTCTTAGCTGAGGTCTTAGTGACAGCTGATAGCTGCTGGGAGGGGGTGATCATTTTCATTTAAAGGTGTGACCTGAGTGGACTGAACAAGTTCCCCTGGATCATCTACACCCAAGAGTATATGGGCAGCATAAATATGACTGAAAGGGTTAAAAATGGAATAAACAATACCAAATTATCAATATTTAAGTGAACATCACTCAGGTTACTTCAAACCATCAGTCAAGGAATACTTGAACTTCTAAGCATGGAAACTGTCCCTGGACATGACATTGTGAAAGCACAGTTGTCAAATACTTGGGAATTCACTTTGAAAACTCTTTACCTGTGTAGTTTCTTCAATATTTCCCCCAAATTCAAGAAGAATGCTGGCAATTTCTAGGCTGCCTCCATATACTGCTAGATGTATTGCAGTTTGCCCATTGCAGTCCTTAATATTGGGATCTGCTTCATTATCAAGCAGGACAGAAACAATCTCTGTCTGCAAGCTCTGCACAGCCTGTGGATGTTGTAACAAGGAAAACATTGTAAATTCAGAGATCAATGTAAACTTCCTCCTTCACCATGATGTATATTTAAGAGATATTGAATTTACTTTCATTCTAACTGCTTATATCAACTTAATTACTGAAATTGAATCTTTGACCTACCTTCATTAGTGGTGTGGAGTTTTCATCATCCAGGACGTTTATCTCACATTCATTGAATAGGAGAAAATAAACCAAATGCAGATGACCATGAAAGCAGGCAAAGTGGAGCGCAGTTCTGTGAGAATGAGGTGTTTTAATGAAAACTCTAGGGCGCTATGTCAACATACATAATCTCACTTGTAATTATAAATAACTTGTAACATTTAAGTCCACTGACCCATAAACAAATATTTAACTTCATTCTAAACTTGTATTTTTTCTTATAATTTGCTATATTAAAAATGTATTATACAGAGCTATTATTGCAGTTTGAATAAAACCCACAACCATTGCAGCCTCAATAAATGTTCCATCACTGAGCTATGTAGTCAAGAGGAGACTATTTGAAGAAAAGGAATATGACTGTTGGGTTGTACTCCTTTTGATTTTGTATCCTATTCTAGACTCTACTACAACTACTTCTCAGTCTTACTGTGTTGTGATTTCTTCTCCATAAAATGAGTGTGAAGAACACTTTTGTTAAATTAAGATGCATCAGTTAGAACACTTTGCAATTATTCAGAAAATATTCTGAGACAACAACTGAACATCTTTTAGAAATTTGTTATTAACAGTAACACCCAAATAAATGCATTTCAAGTCAGTGTTATATCTATTTTGTAATTATATTATGGTGTATGTACTTCACAAATTTTAAGACAATCTTTAAAACTTGAGACATATTCTGCTTTAAATTTAAGCTCCTGCTGCCTCAGTGTCCAGGTAGCCTGGACTGTATATATGGCACATTACTAAGATTGAGATTTTGTGATACTCACATTTTAATTTACCTAAAATTAAAATGTCATTTGCAATTCATAATGTACAAAAAATATTGCCAACACTTAGAAGCAATTCTTGGTACATAAAGTCATCATGCCATCCATGGTATCTATTCTAAGTGAAAAGTGGTTTTATATATATACAAATATTTTTATATATTTATATTTATTATAATTTATATATTATATATTTATTATAATAAATTAAATACAATTTATTATATTTGTTATATACATTCCCAGTCTTTATACTGTATACATATCATATATATACACATATGTACATCCTAGTCTTTATATTGTGTTTTAAAGATGGTTATGTAAAGTACTATTGCTTAAAACTGAAAAGTATCAACAGCAAAATCTAAATGCCTAGCAAATTTGCTTTGATTTATAAGAAACTTCAAGTCAAAGGAACTAAGTATGGAGCTTCAAGTCAAATAAGTAAGTATGGTTCATGTTTGACAATAGTTAAATTCATTGAATATATAGAAATTCAATGTTTCTCTGCCTAATGTCATTATCTAATATGAATTTCACAAGGGAGATTTAGGACACTGTGGTCTTCCTAGTTAAGCAAAAACTGGAAAGCAAGAAAGTTTGTTGATTTGTAAATCATGAAATTCTCAGCAAGCTCTAGTCACCTCTATCAGAAATATACAAAGATTTCAGAAGTAACTCTCCGAGAACTTGGAGCTCATCATCACATTATGAAAAATAGTGACTGATCAGAACAAAGCTGAATTAGCCTTCAGGAAAACATGAAGTGAAGAGGGAAAAAACTTAAGAGAAATCTGTAAAATCTAGTGAGATGGGAGAGTGAGATCCCAGGTAATTAGTGAGAAAAAAACAAGAACATCAGAGAGCAGGAGGGGAAGGGAGAGCATATAGCCAACTTTCAAATTTTGAATTTTTTTATTCTTCAGTAAAGAATATAAACGTTAGTGCAAACTGACAAAAATACATATCAAATGTTTTTTGGCTATTTTAGGTGGAAGAAAAATTATGAGGAAGATTATTTGAGTTCTGTACTTTCTACCGTTTATGTAACATTGTGTTATGTATATAGAAATTAAATCCCATTTCTTTATATTTTGTTTTTTTATTCAATTCCATATTAAATGTTCCTTAAGAAAATGCCTGATGAAGCAATTATGGGTTGACAATAAACTTGCTGAAGCTTTGGTCTTACATTCCTCCTGTTCCAGAAGATCCGGACATGGACATCTGTGTGAGCACAGGTGCCAAGGAGCCGAGAGCACAGAAAGCATAGCTGAGCTCGCCTCACTCCTGTTGGCCATAGAGCTGGGAAAGCTGGGGTTCTCCCATCACCCGATTTCATCAGACCCCTCATCTTTAGCCCATATGTTCTCACCGTTTCCTTGGGTCCTCATCATTTATTTGAAAACCCTCCTTCGCAAGGAGACGCAGTGCCACTTCGAGTTTTCCTGCGCACACTGCTTGGTGAAATTCATTCTCTGCCTCATATGTCTCTTGGTATTCTTTAGTTCTGCACTTGCAGCAGAACAAGGTCTCTCTCTCACTACTTGGGCCGTCACAAAACCCCAAGGGGGTTTTTGGCTCCTTCTTAAAGCAAAAGAGCTTCCTCAGAGTGGAGAACATCGCTGTGACCACCCTCCCGTCAACTCAACGTGAAATAATTTTACAAAATTAACTTTTAAGCACTAACCGCATAACAACCAGAGTCAAACTCCACGACTCTCCCAACTGCTAGGCTCTGGTTTGACCGGTCAAACAGAAGCATTCAGTTATGGAACCGCCGTTGCTAAGTAACATTGGTAAACAAAAGCATGCTCGTTCCTCCTCAGGCATAACTGACGGTTCATTGAGCAAATCATGCTCACTGCGCACGTGTGCGGTAAGTGTTGTGGTCTTCCTTAGGTTTATTTTTTTGACATATTTCTTTCATTATTATTATTATTTCTTAAAAATTTCCACCTCTTCCTCGCCCCCTTTTCCCTCCTCCTCCCCACCTCCCTCACTCCGTCCCCTCCTTCCATTCCCTCCATCTACTCCTTCACCCCACCCGCCATCCACTCCTCAGAGAGAATAAGGCACATTGCTTTGGGGAAGGTCCAAGCCCCCCCTACTATATTTAGGCTGAGCAAGGTATCCATCTAAAAAGAACAGGTTCCCAAAAAGCCAGTACGAGCAGTAGGGATAAATCCTGGGGCTACTGCCAGTGGCCCCTCAGTCTGCCCCACCATACAACTGTCACCCACATTCAGAGGGACTAGTTTGGAACTATGTGGTTTCCTTCCCCTTCTGACTGGAGTTGGTGAGCTTCCATTAGCTCATGTAAACTGTTTAAGTGGGTGTACCCATCATGGTCCTGACCTCTTTGCTCATATTCTCACTCCTCCCACTATTCAGTTGGATTTTGGAGCTCAGTTCAGTGCTCCGATGTAGGTCTCTGTGTCTGTTTCCATCAGTTTCCTCTTCCATCCTCCTTATTTCTCCCACCCCAACCTTTCAATTTTGTCAGGTGGTCTATCTATTTCCCCCATCCAGGTGAATCTATGTATTTCTTAGGGTTCACCTTGTTACTTAGCTTCTCTAGGATCATGAACTATATATAGACTCAATGTCCTTTGCTTTACAACTAGTATCTAGTTATGAGTAAGCACACACCATGCTCATTTTTCTGGGTCTGGGCTACCTCACTCAGGATGTTTTTTTTTCTAGTTGCATACATTTACATGCAAATTTCAAGATGCCATTGTTTTTTACTGCTGAGTAGTACTCTAAGGTGCAAATATGCCACATTTTCTATATTTGTTCTGTGGTTGAGGGGCATCTAGGTTGTTTCCAGTTTCTGGCTATTACAAATAATGGTGCTATAAACAGAACTGAGCAAGTGTCCTTTTGGTTTGATTGAGCATCTTTTGGGGATATGCTTAAGAGTGGTATTGCTGGGTCCTGGGGCAGAGGTTGATTCCAATTTTTCTGAGAAACTGCCATACTGATTTCCAAAGTGGTATGCAAATTTGCATTCCCACCAGCAATGTAGGAGTGCTTCCCTTACTCCACATCCTCTCCAGCATGAGTTATTATTAGTGTTTTTGATCTTAGCCATTCTGACTATTGTAATATTGTATCTCAGAGTTGTTTTGATTTTCATTTCTCTGAAGGCTAAGGGTGTTGAACATTTCCTTAAGCGTCTTTTGGCCATTTGCGATTCTTCTGTTGAGATTTCTCTATTTACTTCTATACCCCATTTTTAATTGGATTATTTGTACTTTTGATGTCCAATTTCTTGAGTTCTTTATATATTTTGGAGATCAGGCCTTTGTGCAGCATGGAGTGAGTAAGGACCTTTTCCCATTCAGTAGGCTGCTTTTGTCTTATCGACTGTGTCTTTTGCTTTACAGAAGCTTCTCAGTTTCAGGAGGTACCATTTATTCATTGTTGCTCTCAGTGTCTGTTCTACTGGGGTTTTATGTAGGAATTGGTCTCCTATAGCCATGCATTGAAGACTACTTCCCACTTTCTCTTCTATCAGGTTCCATGTGGAGAACTTTGTATTGAGGTTTTTTAATCCATTTGAACTTGATTTTGTGAATGGGGAGAGATATGGATCTACTTTCATTCTTCTACGAGTTGACATTCAGCTATATCCTAACATTTTTGGAGATGCTTTCTTTTTTCATTGTATAATTTTAGTTTTCAGAAAAAATCAGGTGCTCATATGTGTGGGGATTAATATCCAGGTCTTGGATTTGATTTGGTCAACCTCTCTTTTTATGCCAACACCAAGCTGTTTTCATTACTGTAGCTCTATCACAGAGCTTGATGTCAGGGATGGTGATGCCTTTATTGTACAGGATTGTTTTGAGTATCCTGGGTTTTCTGTTTTTCCATATGAAATTGATTATTTTTACTATGTTGATCCTACCTATCCAAGAGTATGGGAGACCTTTCCATTTTCTGGCATATTCTTCAATTTCTTTCATCAAAGACTTAAAGCTCTTGTCCAAAAGGTTGTTCACTTCTTCAGTTAGTATTATCCGAGGATATTTTATGTTATTTGTGGCTATTGTGATGGATGAGGTTTCTCTGATTTCTTTCTCAGTTTCTTTCTTATTTGTATATAGGAGGGCTACTGATTTTTTTTGAGTTGATCTTGTATCCTGACACTTTACTAAAGGTATTTATCAGCTGTAGGAGCTCCCTAGTAGAGGGGTTTGGTCACTTTGTATACTATCATATCAACTGCAAATATGAAAGTTTACTTTTTTCTTTCCAATTTGAATCTCCTTGATCTCCTTTTGTTGTCTTATTGCTCTAGCCAGAACTTCAAGAACTATGTTGAATAGATATATAGAGAAAGTGGACAGCCTTTTTTTGTTTCTGATTTCATTGGAATCACTTTGAGTCTCTCTCCATTTAATTTGATGCTGGCTATTGGTTTGCTATATATTGTTTGTATTATGTTTAGATATATTCCTTGCATCCGTGATCTCCCCAAGACCTTTATCATGAAGGGGTGTTGGAATTTTTGAATGATTTCTCAGCAAATAAGATGATCATATGTTTTTTTTCTTTCAGTTTATTTCTAAGATAGATTACATTGATAGATTTTCATATGTTGAAGCACCCCTACATCTCTGGAATGAAGCTGACTTGATCATGGTGAATGATTTTTTTGATGTATTCTTGGATTTAGTTTGTCAGCATTTTATTGAGTATTTTTGCAACTATATTCATGAGTAAGATTGGTCTGAAATTCTGAGTCTTTGATGTATTCTTGGATTCAGTTTGTCAGTATTTTATTGAGTATTTAGGCATTTATATTCATGAGTAAAATTGGTCTGTAATTCTGAGTCTTTGTGTGGTTTCGTTATCAGGATAACTGTAGCCTCATAAAAAAGAGTTTGGCAATGTTCCTTCTGTTTCTACTATGTGGAACACTTTGAAGAATATAGGTATTGTCATTTTCTTAAATAGTGACAGATGGCAAGGAGCCAGCCCATTGTGGGTGTTGATTCTGGGTGTTCCTGGGTTCTGTAAGAGAGCAGACTGAGCAAGCCATGGAGAAAAAGCCAGTATGGAGCACCAATCAATGTCCTCTGAATCAGTTCCTTGACTCCAGGTTCCTGCCCAGTTTGAGTTCCTGTCCTGACTTCCTTCAAGGATAAGCATCAATATGGAAGTGTAAGTCAAACATACCCTTTACTCTTCAACTTTCATTTTTTTTCAGGGTATTTTCTTTAGCAAACAAAACCTTATCTAATTCTGGGAATTTGCAAACATGGCTGTCAGCACAATAACATTTGAAGTTCAACTTTGTAGCATCTTCAAGATCAGGAGCAACCATACTTTAGTAAGACTTTGAGCTTTAGGTTTGCAAGCTATTAAAAAACTGTAATGGTCACATTGTCTTTTCTAGTTTGAACCATTTGGTCCATCCTTTTGGGATCAAGGTTTGCTGTGTTGGCATCAGCAACCACTTTGGCCGTAGAAATGTTTATGAACTGGGTCTGTGGCAGCTTGTTACTGTCCTGGTAGGTGCCTTTTCCTCTGTTGACAGACTTTACAACAGGTGGCTGACTCCTGGTGATACTTGCTTCAGCATGGCAACTTCGGCTATGTCTGCACAGGATTAGGAGATGACAGACCCGGATTCCTAACCACTGTAAAGTAACGGTTTCTCAGTGCCTTATCCATAAATTTTCCAGAAGCTGTGCCAACAGAAAAACCTAGATTAATACATTTTTTTCTTTTTTTCTAGATTAATACTTTTAAGATAAAATATTCCAGATTGTTACTTTTCTCTTTGATGTTAAAATTCAAATATAGGATATATAAATTATAGGCATATAAATGTTTTTTTTATTTTATTACTTTAAAAAATACCAATCCAAATTCCCTCTTCCTCCCCTCCACCCACTCCCTCCACACACCCTCCCCCAACTCTCTCCAATCTTGAAAAAGAGCAAGTCACCCTGCCCTGTGGAAAGTCCAAGGTCCTCCCTACTATATCAAGGTTGAGCAAGGTATACATACAAAGAGAATATGAGCCCCCAAAGACAGTACATGCATTAGAGTTAAATCTCAGTGCCAGTGTCATTGGCCCCTTAGTCTGCCCCAACTGTGAACCACATTCAGAGGGACTCTTTTGATCCCATGCTCTTTAATTCTCAGCCCAGTTGGAGTTGGTGAGCTCCCATTAGCTCAGACACATTGTCTCAGTGGGTGAACCCCTCATGGTCTTGACTTCCTTGCTCATACTCTCCCTCATTCTACTCTTTAACTCGACTTTGAAAACTCAGTCCCGTGCTCTAATGTGGGTCTCTGCCTCTGTTTCCACCTGTTGTTGGACGAAGGTTCTATGGTGATATTTAAAATAATCATCAATCTGACTACAGGGCAAGGCCAGATCAGGCACCCTCTCCTCTATTGCTTAGGGTCTTAGCTGGGGTCATCCTTGTGGATTCTTGGGAAATTTTCTAAGCCAGATTTCTTGCTAATCCCAAAATGGCTCCCTCAATCAAGATATCTCTTTCCTTGCTCTCATATCTGTGCTTCCTCCATCTCAACTATCCCATTCCCTCAATCTCTCCCCAACTCTCCCCTTCTCCCCTTCCCTTCCTCGCATATAAATGTTTTGAGAGGGTGTCTTATAATATGTGCTTTATGTAAGGAATTGGAAATACAAATAGGAATATATAAGTAATGTATATTGTAACATTTCTATATGTCCTATATCTTGGAATCTGGAAAAGCATTACAAGGTCCAGAATGCACTAGTTTTCCTAGATGCAAACACAAGGTCATACACTTTAATATTTTTCTATGCCTACTGTTCCCTAGTTAGGCTGTTTGTTTGCTTGTTAAGTTCAAACTTCTATCACGAATGAATATTGTAAGAAAGAATTGGGACAAACACGATTAATAAAAAACAATTTTTTTCAAAATATGATGTTAAATGTGTGATTTCTATGATTCCCATATATATATCTGCTAATACATTTGTCTGATGGTTTTAACTGGTGGATTTATTTTTCTTGATACGTGAGATCAAATTATTAATTTCCTTGAAATTATCATACTCAACCTGTTACCATAGCAAATTAAGCTTTGGGGTTGTCTGTAACTAGGGTTTTTGCTTTTTATGTCTGTGATAATATATAATGACCAGAAGCTTCTTACAAAATAGTGTCTTTGGGCTTCCAATTCCAGAGGCAAAAGGGTCTATCATGGTGGGGAGACTCAGCACTAGTGGCAAGACAAGGATTCATAGAGATTCCATCTCTAGCACAGACTGGAAGCAGAGAGAAAACACAGTGGGCAGAGACTATGACCACTCAAGGCCTGCCTCCAGGGACAGATGTCATCTATCATAGCCCCATCTCCCAGATGTTCCACATCCTCCCCAGTAAGCACCACCACCTGGAATTAACTTTTCAAATATCTGAACCTGTGGGAGACAGTCTCACTAAAAGCACCACAGAGACCAATATAAAGGTCTGACATAGTCTGGAGATACACAGGAAACATTTTTTTATGAAATAATAGCAGAAATTTCCTCATATCAAGGGAAATTAGTGAACTCATCTATAGACCACAACAGTCACAGTTGAATAATAATCTCTCTGCATAACATTGTAGTTGTGTTAAAAATTTAAAACTATTTCACATTATTATTCTTGGGACACTATGTACCTCTGCCTCACTGTGAACACCAGACTGACCTCAAGCTTCCAGAGATGTACACCTTCCTGGTGCTGGACTTAAAGGCATTGCTACTACTCCTTGCCTCACAAAAAATACATCAAGCCTTTGTATTACACTGGAAATCCAAGAACACAGAAAAAAATCTCCCAGATAGAAGCTTCAAGAGAGAATTAGTTTTCCTACAAAGGCAAGCCCATTCATGACCACTTAGTAAGGATAGATAGATAGTCAGACACATAGACAGACAGACGGGGGGAGAGAGAGACAGAATTTTAGAATGAAGTATTGTAGCTGTCAAACAGAACAAACGTCAAGCAAGATTCCTGTACAGAATAACGGAATCCATCAACCTTGAAGAAGCAATACAGAGACATTGCAGGATAAACATAAACTAAAGCCAAGGAAGACCAAGAGGTAACACTGCACATGCGCAGTGAGCATGCTTTCATGAGCTCGTGTTGCTTAGCAATGGCTGTTCCATAACCAGCCCCATCCGTTTGTACTGGTCAAACTGAGCAAAGGAGGACTCGTTACTTCTGGACCCTGCAGAGATAGGGTGTACATTTTGGAAGGATTTTGTTTGTGGTTTAAAGTTCACATTGCTTTTAAAAAGATATTTAATGTTGAGCTGAGAGGAACCTGACCACAGCGATGTTCTCCATCCTGAGGAAATTCTGCTTTTTGAAAGAGCTGAAAAACCCTCTAACACTAACTCTTATGACCCAGAAAATGAATTTCATAAGCACTGTGCATGGGAAACATTGAAGTGACGCTTTGTCTAATCCATAACAAGAAGTTTCATGTAAATAATGAGGACGAAGAGAAACGGTGAGAAACTTGGAAGCTAAGGGTGTGGGGCCTTGAGGAAATCAGGTGATGGGAGAAGCGTACCTCTCCTAGCCCCATTGAGGGCCACAGAGGTGAGGCGAGCCCAGCTATGCTTTCTGTATTACAGTCTGCTTGGCACATGTGATCACAGAGTTCCAGTGTCTGGATCATTTTCTGGAGCAGGAGTACTGTAAGACCAAACCTCCAGCAGGCTAGCTGTCACCCCCTAATCCCCATATGGAGTATTTTCTTATTGAGAGCATTAAATATGCAATAGAATAATACAACAAATATAAAACAATGAAGTTTAATTTAAATGTTCATAATAAATACAGGGTGTAAAAATTAAAAAGAGCAGAATGCAAGGCCCGTTCCTTATAATGTGTCCTCTTCTCACTTAAAACTATACAAATATAATTCAATATAAATTTTACATTAATGTGTACTAACATTTCCATCCCTTACTGAAGAGTAATAGAAAAATCCCTAATTTGAAAAGATGTCTGTGTGCTCCTCGCCCTCGTCCTCTTTCATGTTCTCATTTCTCAGTGGTGCTCTGGGGAAATCATTCTCATCTCAGCAGATTCCCGTGTGTCACTTAAGCTTCTCCACTTCGTATTGTTCTGAGGAGGAATTCAGCACCACCTTGTTCAGTCACCATTTTCATAACAATTTGCTGACAAGTTCCAAATTCTCTGCAAGTTGCTTTTGACATCTTTCTTTCTGATTGAGCAAATAGAGCTTGCTGGGGGTTTCATGGTTTGCAAATCAATAAAGTCATTTTGCTTTCTTATTTCACTTAACTAGAGATTTCTATATATTCTATGATTTTAACTGTTGTCAAAGTGATCCATACTTGGTCGTTTCAGCTCCAAGATTTTTTTGACTTAAAAATCCTTGAAAATCAATCCATAATTTTATGTGTATTTAGATTTTGCTGTTGACAGTTTTCACGGTTTTTATCCCTAGTGCTTCTTGCATAGCTAGCATTTTTCAAAGTCCAGAATAAAGACTAGGAATTCCATGCATATATGTCACATTTCAATTAGTGCAAGACATCATGAGTTACATGATGACATTCTTCCTTGTGTATTGATTGATTTTAAGTGTTGACAATCATTTAATACATTATGAGTTGTAAATGACATTGCAATTTTAGATGAGTTAAAATGTGACAAAAGAGAGCCTCAGGCTAGATACTGTGTCATATCCACAATTTCAACTACCTGCAGGCTGAAGAAGGAGGCGCATAAATTTAAAGCAGACTGTTTCTCCAAAATTAAAATGATTCTCGTAGACTTTGTGAAATATACATTCCTTAATATACTGCTGAATTAGAAACAATGGGACTAATATTGACTTTAATTGTGTTTATTGCAGTGTTACCACCAATAACTTAAATATCTAAAAGATGTTCAGCTGTTGTTCAAGAATATTTTTCCAGTCATTGCAAAGGTTCTTATTAATGCATCCTAATTTGGCAGTAGAGAAATAATCCCTTTTACTCCCAACTTATGGACAAAGACACCACAACACAGAAAGGCTGAGTGAGAAGTCAATAGCTAAGAATGGATCCTAGAACAGGATGCAGATTCATTAGGAGTTCAACGCAATAGTCACATTCTTTCTCTTTGTCTACCTAGCTCAGTAGTGAGATACTTATCTTGGCTATCCCAGGCTATGGTTGTAGTGTATGAGAGGAAAATAAAATAAAATAAAATAAAAACAGGAATTGTGTTGGAATTTTGATGGGGATTGCATTGAATCTGTAGATTGCTTTGATAAGATGGCCAGTGAAGTATAGAATCAGTTTAAAATGAGAAGTCTTGTGACAACTGGAGACAGGATCGAAACATTGCAATGCTTAGAAGCATGACAATGTGCAGTCAGCTGAGAAGTAAAATTCTACTGCTCTTTGGACTACGGTAAAAATTCTATTCACAGGACTAGCTATGTGGTTTTCAGTTTGGTTGTGGAATAGACAGTATTGTGTATTAATAATTGATAGCACTGCAGGATGTTTTTGCACCTCAGTTTCTTGCACGATGAGAAAGGAAGTGCCTCATGGCAGAACAAATCATTCTGTGAATAGGCATGCCTCTCAAGATTATCTGAGGTAATGTACTTTCTAACCACTAATTGTGGTCTAGAACAGTAGGAGTCACTCAAATAAAAATATCATAGGAATATACTAGAAAATATTAGCAAAGTATCAGTTTCTTTAAAAGTATCTATTATGCCTGGGGTGGTGGCACAAACCTGTTATTCCAACACTTGGAAGGCAAAGGAAGGCATATCTCTGTGAGTTTGATACCAGTCATGTCTACAAAGGTAGACAGAGCTGTTACCAGAGCTGTTACCAGAGGAGCCCTATGTCAAAAACAAAAAAATATATATTTTATATGAAATGAATATAGGAAAGAATGATACATAATTAGATTAATGTTCCTAATAATATTGAGAGGACTTTCTTATTTAGAATATTATTTTGTCTGTCATATGATCTTCCAGGAGCTGATAGATATCAGATTAGCATTTTGAAAATTATGAACTTTTTATTTACTGACTTATCATGAAATTCTTAATCACTAAATAATATATTCCTCATATTTAAGTATGTTAAGCATGGATAGAACTTAAAGTTGTAGGCTATTGTGTGACTCTTTATTTTAAATTGCCTTCTTTGAACACAAAAACCTGATGTCATGTTTTCCTGAGTGACTATTACTCTTTACCAGATACTGCTCAGGTTGTTACCCAATAATTCTTTTTTAAGTCTCACTTCTGCTAAGGACAGCAAGTCATCTTTAACTACATAAACTTTACTGAAGATGAAACTAGGTGAATGATGGAGGAGGGTTATCTGTCTATTGTGTTATTTTCATTGGTCAATAAAGAGACTGTCTTGGCCCCTTGATAGGACAGAAAATTAGGTAGGCGGAATAAACAAAACAAAATGCTGGGAAGAGGGCTATGAGCCAGAAGCCATGGAGCCAGCCACCAGGTCAGACATGCTGAATCTTTTCCGGTAAGCCACCACACCGTGGTGCTACAGATTATTAGAAATGGGTTAATATCAAGATATGAGAGTTAGTCAGTAACTAACTCTCTAGAGATAATGGGCCAGGCAATATTTAAATGAATACAATTTGTGTGTTGTTATTTCTGGGACTAAGCTAGCTGTGCGGGAGCTGGGCAGGATGAAAAGCAGGCCTGCCCTCAGCCCCTCACTACAAGTGGTAGAGAAGTTTTGGAGTGACACAGTGGTGTTCGTTCCTATTTCCCCACATTCTAGGTGTGCAAGCCCTGAACATGATTTAATCACCACATGTGCTTTTGAATGTGTGGAGAAGAAAAGTGGCAAATTTACTTATATAGCACACAGTTCAATGCTGAATGAGTGTCAGCATTGTGCTTATTAGTGTCAATATTTAAAATCTCTATGGATTCTTTTAAACAAAGAGTATTGTTTTTATAAAATCACTAGCATTGCTTTAATCATACAAATGGCTATTTCTTACTAGACAGAAAGGAATGGAATGTTTCTTATGTAAATCTTTGAATAAATCTAATAAATGATATCATAAGCACACAAATTCCCACATTAAATTGCACTCATGCCCTCAAGATACTTAAGTATGTTAAGAACTGATCAATTATACACAAACAGACAAGTCATGTGAGTGGTAAAATATGTTCAATGAACATTTTAATCAGTTATTCCATTGGTCTGTCATTCCAGAACAACACTACATGTGGAGATAAATGGGATTCTAAAGGTGTTGTTGAACTTCTATTGAAACAAGGCATGGCTCACTTCTTATGGAGTGCATTTGGATGAAGTGCACTGCACTATGCTAGCAGCTCTTTAACTAGAGACTGTGCCACCCAAACTTAGGTATGTCAACTTGTGCAAATGTCTTTATGTAGGTCCTGTATAGATATTGTTGGAATTTTTATGGGACTACATTCTTATCTTGCCTAGAAGATACTATAGAGCAGCAGGCATTCTTGTACTCTGGCTCTTGCAATATATGTTCTCCACAACTGCACTTTTCTCAATGTATTGTGTAGGAGTGCTGAAGCAGTTGATGGTGAACATGCAGTAGTTACTTACTCTTTTATTTTAACAGTTGTGACTCTCTGTCTACTGCCAAAAAAACTTCTCTGATGATATCACCCACCTGTCTGTGGGTACGATTGTGTATCTAAGATAAGTACTTAGAATACAGTTAGAAACGACATGAGTTTAGACAAATTGCGGGTGCCACTAGAGGACCAAGCTATACAACTGTAACATGTATGCAGAATGTCTAAGTCAGTCCCTTGCAGACTCCCTGGTTGTTGGTTCAGTCTCTGTGAGCCCCTATTAGTTTAGTTTAGTTGATTCTGTGAGTATCCTTGCTTTGTCTTCACCCCTCTGGCTTCTACAATCTTTTATCCCCCTCTGCAGGTTTCCCTAAATTCTGCCTAATGCTTGGCCATGGGTCTGCCTCTGTTTTGATTAGTTGTTGGGTCAAACCTCTCTGATGACAGTTCATCTAGGCAATAATCTGTGTATAACAGATTGGCCACTTCCTCAATCTCTAAGCCACCCTTATTCCAACATATTTTATAGGCAGGACAGGAAAGTTATGTGACTGGGTTGGTTTCCCACTTCCTCCACTTGAAGTCTTGCCTGGTTACAGAAGAGAGCCAGCTCAGGCTACATATCTCTATTGTTAGCAGTGTTAGCTGTGGCCATCCCTGTAGTTACCTGGGAGATTCCCTTGTGCCAGATAATTAACTGGCTCCCAAATACCCCCTATTCTGTAGTCTCTTTCAGTACTCTCAGATTTTGTTCCGCACAACCTGCTCACTCATGTTCCCTTGCCATTCTGCCCTTGGTCTACTCATGAAATCTCCTCTATTTCCCCTTCTCAGGGACATCTAGGCATCCTGTTATGAGCCCTCCTTATTACTCAGCCTCTCTGGTTAGTGGATTATAGCATAGTTATCCTTTATTTTATAGTTTATATCATGATTTAGGAGTGAGTATATACAATGTGTCTTTCTTAGCCTGAGTTACATCAATCAGGACATTATTTCTCCATTTTCAACCTTTTTGCTTCAAATTTGCTGGTGTTCTTGGTTTTAAAACTCAATTGGACTCCATTTTGTAAATATATTACATTTTCTTTATTCATGCCTCACTTAAGGGATATCAAGGTTGTTTCAGGTTTTGGTTATTACAAATAAAGCTGCAAAAAAAGGTCCTATGAACATAGTTGAGCAAGTGTCCTTGTGATATGAATAAAGTATATGCCCAAGAGTTTACTGCTCTGTGTTCTGGTAGATTGATTCCCAGTTTTCTGAGAAACTGCCACACTGATTTCCAAAGTGACTATACAAGTTTACACTCCCATCAGCAATGGAGGAGTGTTATGCTTGCTCATACCCTCTCCAGCATGAGCTGTCACTTGTGTTTTTTATCTTAGCCCTTCTGACAGGCATAGGCTGGAATCTCAGTGTCATTCTGATTTGCGCTTCCCTGATAGATAAGAATGTTGAAATTCTCCTTAAGTGTTTCTCATGCACCTGTGATTCTTCTGTTGAGAATTCTGTTTAGATATATACCCCATTTTTAATCAGATTATTTGATTTGTTGTTATCTAGATTCTTGAGTTTTTATATACTTTGAAAATTAGTTCACTGTCTTATGTGGAGTTGGTGAATGTCTTTTTCCATTCTGCAGGTTGCTGTTTTTCCTATTGACAGCGTCCTTTGCTTTACAAACCTTTTCAGTTTCATGGGGTCCCACTTATTAAGTGTTGATCTTAGATTCTACGCTATTGGTGTCTTGTTCTGGAGGTTGTCTCCTGTGTCAATGTGTTCAAGGCTACTTGTTGGGAGCTGTGAAACCCCCAGATGTTGAATTTCTAGTAAACAACTTGTAATGCTTGAAGATGCTCTGAGCATGAGACCCTCAGGATTTCCTGATGTCAGGGAAATGGTTTCTGGTGGTTTGGCTGGGGAGTGGCTATCAGTTAAGGATCCCTATATAAGCTACCCCAGGATACAATAAAGGGGGCATTTCTGTTTCAAGGATGACCCATGTCTCATTCTTTGTGTCTTTGTGTGTTTCAATCTCCAGCCCCCTGCCCAGCTCACAAACTGTATGGTAGCACGTAGAGCACAGACGGGCCTGTTGCACTATAGCTACTTCCCACTTTTTATTATCTCTGGTTCAGGATGTCTGCATTTATGTTGAGATCTTTAACCCACTTGGACTTGATATTTGTGTCTCATGATAGATACGGACCTATTTGTGCTCTTCAGTATGCCAACAATCCAATTATTCCATCACTGTTTATTGAAGATGGTTTCTTTTTTCTATTTATAATTTTAGCTTCTTTGTCATTATCAGATGTCCATAGGTTTGTGGATTTATGACAGAGCCTTTGATTCAATTCCCTCAGTCTACCAGTCTGTTTTTATGCCAAAACCATGTGATTTTTTTATTACTATAGCACTGTAGTAGAGCTTGAAATCAGGGGATGGTGATACCTCTGAAAGTTCTTTTATTGTACAGGGTTGTTTTAGCTATCTGTGGAATTTTTCATATGAAGTTGAATATTGTTCTTTCAAGGTCTACAAAGAATTATTTTGAAATTTTATTGGTGATTGCATTGAATCTGTAGATTACTTTGGGTAAAATGGCCATTTTTACTTTGTTAATCTCACCAATCCCTTAGTATGGGAGAATTTACCATCTTCTGATATCTTCTCCATCTCCTTTCATCAAAGGCTTGAAGTTCTTGTCATACATGTCTTTCATTCCTTAGTTAGATTATAACCAGTGGGTTTTTTTAATCATTTGAGACTATTTTAAAGGTTGTTGATTCCCTGATTTCTATCTCAGTCCTTTTATTATTTGTTTCTAGGAGGATTACTGAGTTTTTTCAAGTTAATTTTATATCCAGCCACTTGACTAAAGGTGTTTCTCAACCGTAGGAGTTCTCTGGCAGTTTTGGTCTAGCTTAGGTATACTATCATGTCATCTGGTAATGGTGATACTTTGACTTCTTCCATTCTAATTTGTATCCCCTTATTTTCCTTTAATTGTCATATTTATCTAGCTAGAATTTCAAGTAATATATTGAATAGGCATGGGGAGAGTGAACAGTCTTGTCTTTTTTCTGATTTTGATGGAATTCCTCTGAATTTCCCTTGTTTATTTTGAAGTTGGTATTTGGCGTTCTATAGTTTCTTTTTTTATGTTTAGGGATTTCCCTTGGATCTCTGATCTCTACAAGACAATTGTCAGGAAAATGTGTTAGATATTTTCAAAGGTTTTTTTCAGTATCCAAAGAGATGATCATGTGGCTTTTTCCATTCAGTTGTTGCTATGGTGGATTACATTGACAGACTGTTTATGTTGAAGCATCCCTGCATGCCTTTGATGAAATCTATTGGATGATCTTTTTGATGCATTCATGGATTCAGATTGCTAGTGTTTTACTGAGTACTTTTGCATCATTATTCTTGTGTGAAATTAGTCTGTAATTCTCTTTCTTTGGTAAGTCTTTGAGTCGTTCAGTAATCCGGGTAACTCTGGCCTCATAGAGGTAATTTCACAATGTTCTCTCTGTTTCAATTTTGTGGAATAATTTTTTTAAAGTTTATTAATTTATAAAAGTTTCCATTTTTGCCCCTCCTCCCAACACCCTCCCACTCCCCCCACTCCCTCTTCTCCTCCCTCTCCATCCCTAAGAGCAGTCAGGGTTTCCTACCCTGTGGGAAGTTCCTCCCTCCTCCCTCCAGGTCCAGGAAGGTGAGCCTCCAAACAGACTGGATCCCAAGAATCCAGTATATGCAGAGGAAACAAGTCCCACTGTCATTGTCAATGGCTTTTCAGAAAGACTCCATGCCAGCCACATTCAGAGAATCTGGCCACATTCAGAGAATCTGTTGGATCACATGCTCCTTCAGAATCAGTCCAACTGGCCTTGTATCAGTTGTTACAAGTACTTGTATCAGTGGGTGAACACACTCCTCATGGTCCTGCCTTTCTTGTTCATGTTCTCCCTCCTTCTGCTCCTCATTTAGACCTTGGGGGCTCAGTCCAGTGCTCCAATGTGGGTCTCTGTCTCAATCTCCATCTATCGCCAGATGAAAGTTCTATGGTGATATACAAAATATTCATCAGTATGGTTATGGGCCAAGGCTAGTTCAGGCACCCTCTCCTCTGTCCAGAGAACAATCTGGGGATCTCTCCTTGGTCCTGGGATCCCATTTATAATCAAGTCTCTTGTAAAGCCTAAAATGACTCCCTTATGTGATATATATAGTTCCCTGATCCAATATCCATCCTTCCTCCCTCCCCCCATCCCAATCCCCTGAGCTTTCCCCATTCCTCCCCTACTCCCTTCTCTCTAACCCTCTCGCCTTCCAACAACCCCCCACCCGCCCATGCACCCAAGGTTGCCTGGCACTCTTGTCTACTTCCAATCTCCAGGAGGATAACTACATGATTATCTTCATGTTCACCTTGTTATTTAGCTTCTCTAGGATCACGAATAAAAGGCTCAAAGACCTTTAATTATGGCTAGAAACCACATATGAGTGAATACATACCATATTCCTCTTTTTGCTTCTGGGTTACCTCACTCAGTAAAGCGTTTTCTATGTCCATCCATTTGCATGCAAAATTCAAGATATCATTGCTTTTTACCGCTGAGTAAAACTCTAATGTATATATGTTTCACACCTTTTTTAACCAGTCTCCTATTGAGGGGCACCTAGGTTGTTTCCAGGTTCTGGCTTTTACAAATAATGCTGCTATGAACATAGTTGAACAAATGCTATTGTGGTATGATAGGGCATCTCTTGGGTATATTTCCAAGAGTGGAATTGCTG